ATATATATATATAATGAGTCAATATTTACAGTGTTGACCCTTGTTTTTCATGACCTCTGCAATTCGCTCTGGCATGCTAGATATTAGCTTCTGGGCCAAATCCTGACAGATGGCGATCCATTCTTGCCTTATTAGTTCTCGGAGTTGATCACAATTTGTGGGCTTCTGCTTGTCCACTCGCCTTTTGAGGCTTTTGATATTCGAGCCACTTCTTTATTACTCTTGCCTTGTGACATGGTGCTCCATCATGCTGGAAAATGCAGGGATCATCACCAAATTGCTCATGGATCGTTAGAAGAAGTCGCTCTTGTAGGATGGTTTGATACCATCCTTCATTTGTTTTTGGGCAGAATTATGACAGAGCCCACTCCCTTGGTTGAAAACCAACCCCACACATATGGATGGTCTCAGGACGCTTCACTGTTGGCACAACACAGGACTCATGGTAGCGTTCACCTTTTCTTCTCCGAACAATTGATTTTCCAGATGTCCCAAACAGTCTGAAGGGAGCTTCATCAGAGAAAATAATTTTGCACCAGTCCAATCCTTGTACTTCCTGCAGAATTTTAGTCTGTTCTTGAATTTTCTTGGAGAGAAGTGGCTTCTTTGCTGCGCTTCTTGACACCAGGCCATTGTCCAAAAGTCTTGGCCTCACTGTGCGTGCAGATGTTCTCACACCAACCTGCTGCCATTCCTGAGCAAGCTCTGCACTGCTGGTGACACGATTCTGTAGATGACACCTCAGGAGGAGACGGTCCTGGCGCTTGCTGGACACTCTGGGACGTCCTGAAGACTTCTTCACTGCAGTCGAACCTCTCTCCTTGAAGTTCTTGATGGTCCGGTAAATGTTTCTTTCAGATGCAATATTCTTTGTAGCAATTTCCTTGCATGTGAGGCCATTTTGATGCAAAGCGATGATGGCTGCATGTTTCTTTGGAGGTAACCATCACTAACAAGAACACAATGATTGAAAGTGCTTCTTCCCTCCTTTTATAGCAATCAGTCTGCTCTTACAATCTAATTAGTATGATAGTGATTTCGCCTGACTAGTACTCATTCACACTTTCACATGTGCTGCTGATATGATTAGTCAATTAATGTTAGCTGGTCATTTTGTGTCAAAATAAAAAAAAATTAGTTTTGTTTGTTTTTGTGAAAAGTTCATTTTTTGGCCAATGACGCTTTTAGCAATTATTTTAAATGCATCTGATCACCAGAGTTGGGTATAACTGTTACTGTAATCTAATTACTTTTTCTGGTAACGCAGTAATGTAACGCATTACATTTTAAATTTGTATAATTTGATTAAAGTCAATATAATTACGTTACTTACGTTACAAATGTAGTGTTAAGAAAAAAAAATGTATATGCCTTTTAAAATCACGTTTTGCGCGGGGTCGACAGAGGCGCCGGCGCGATCACTTGCATTTTTTCCTGATAACAGCGAAAAGAACTTAATGCTCCGCCATTTTTGATTGTACAAATAAGTGTAATACATCATTTGAATCTGTGAAGGGTCTACTTTTGTTTGTGTACACTCACAATATCAACAAAAGATTGTGCTTTTATAAAATAAAGAAAAAAACTGTGTGCGCTTTCAGCTGTCTCAGTCTCTGCAAAATTCTTTCTGAAACGCGTCACTAAAATGAACCAAAACTCAGCGAATACTTCACACACAGACATGAGAAACATATCTATGGAAAGCTTGAAGTGTCTACTTTTAAATGAAGTAAGTCCTATCTAAAACAAATATTCTCTGATGAAGTAATCCGTATGAAACCAATGCGAGGTCCAGTCTGAGCTCATTATCTGTAATGTCATCACGCCCACGCGCATACGCATATTCATACGGTGATCATCCACGTGAGACGCGCAAACCTGTAAACGCCCACATCACCTCCATAAACAAAGAAGCAAGATTCATTTTTAGCATTCAAATATGCACTGTATGTTCATCAATACTGTTTTCAAATGTTATCAGGAACGTTTTACATTTATTAAGTTTTTTTCTGAGCTCATTATCTGTAATGTCATCATGCCCACGCGCATACGCATATTCATACGGTGATCATCCACGTGAGACGCGCGAACCTGTAAACGCCCACATCACCTCCATAAACAAAGAAGCAAGATTCATTTTTAGCATTCAAATATGCACTGTATGTTCATCAATACTGTTTTCAAATGTTATCAGGAACGTTTTACATTTATTAAGTTTTTTTCTGTCTTTAATGCTCACACAGTTAAGCCAGCATACACATATACCCTACACTCAGCAAGCAATGTTGTACAGTATATAAAACACTGTATATCGGCACATTTAAAGATACATTTTTCATTGTTGGGCAGGTTTATACTAAGAATGTTAAGTTTTAGAAATTGATTAAATCTTTAATTCAAGTTGCTGTTTTCATACCTTTGTAATATTTTTCAGTCAATATTAAATTACTGAAAAAAATAAAATTTTCACTTTGAAGTGTATTTTTTTAAGTTTGATATGTTTT